TTAATCTACCACCTTTAACCACATGAGCTAGACTTGTGGTTATATAGCAAAATCAAGGACCAACCAGAAATAAGTATGCAGTAAATAAGCCCATCAGTATAGTGAATTTACTCTCCCAGAAGAAGACTTAAAGGGAGGTGGAGGAAGGAAAGAGAAATAGGAGTAGAAAAGGTTAGAAGTAGGGCTAGAGCACACAGGAAGATCATGTAAACTTTGTGAAACTGGTAAAGACAGGAGGAAAAGAAAGAAGGGAGGAACTAAAACAAGAACAGAATAGGAAAATTAGGGATGGTATTCATGCTTTTAGAGAAATAATAACAATCAAGGAAAAACAAAACATCAGAAAAACAGGAACAAGTGGGGAGAGAACAGAAAAGAAGAAGGAGGAGGAGGAGGAGAAGAAGGAGGAGAAGAAGGAGAAGAAGGAAAAGAAGGAGAAGAAAGAGGAGAAGGAGAGGGAGAGGGAGAAGGAGTTAAAACAAAACAAAAGGCTCTTTCAAGGAGTGTCTCTGCTGTGGGTGGTAGACAACATGGACAGCAGCCTGCAGATCTGAGTCAATTGATCTCAGTGAGCCAGCTGTAGTCCACTGAGATTCAGACTGGTTTCTGGCTGCAAGGCCTGAATTGAGCTCCCTGATCTCCTGTGGGCTTCAACTCTGCATGTTTCTGTTGCAGCTTTGATCCACCCCTCTCCCACAGCAATTCTGTGTTCTGGTAAGAGGTGCTGATCCCAACAACTGTAGTCTGCTGTGCCTTTATTACAGTGACTCACTTTGCTCTCCCAGTGGGCTTCAATTCTCAACAACAAGCCTCAGAGGTGCTCTCTCTCAGCTGCTCACCACTCTGCCATCTTCCAACTTCTGGAGCTCAGAAGGATGGTTTTTCTGCTCTCTGCCCTTGTCTGGATCTGGCCATCACTCTCTTAGGGGATTCACTGATGATGGCGCATGCTAGCGGTCCCCCTGGTGAAGGCTCACAAGCCCAGTCCCCATAGTGAAGGTGCACATAGGCAGACCTGGGCAGAACTACTAGTGAAGGCATATGTGCATGGTGGCACTGGTCTGTTATGCATTTTTTTGGTTAAATTATTTTATTGATACATTTTATGTATACAACACAAGTACATTTCTCATTGGGAACCGGTACCTTTATATGATGCATCTTGGTTCTTATTTTTTCCCCATTCCTAACCTTCCCTATTTACAAAGACATTATTTCCATTTTTTCATTTCTCATCATTTTCCTTTCCCTTCTTTCCTTTCCCCTGCCCCTCCCACTACCCCTACCCCTTTGGACCTTTCTTCCTATTTTGTATTATCGATTATTCATTCTAATCATTGGTACATTTTAGGTATACAATATAAT